GAGGGGGCGGGGCGGGCTGCATGTGGGCTTGGGGCCTTGGGAGTTTCCGTGCCGCCCCGGGGCCTGCAGCACAGCCGGGCCGGAGCGCTGCTTTCGGCCTGCCCGGGCGGGCTCTGAACGGAGCAGCCGTCTCTTCCCGCCCCTGAGGGAGGCTGGGAACAGGCCCTGGGCCCTTGGAGATGCCGGTTCTTGGCTCTCACTCGGCTTGTAGTGACTGCGTGCAGTGCTGGAGCCGGGCCTCTGGCAGTGGTGGAGATAGACCGTGCTAATGGATGAACAAGCAGGCCTTCTTTACTCACCTGCCACCCCCCGTCCCCAATTATCAATCGAAACGGATGCTGAACATTTTGATTAAAAGGAAAACAAACCAACAAAAATTCTCCTTCTGCCTTCCCCAAACACGGGATGTGTCTCATTTAGGGATATGCAAGTCAGCATGGCGCGCGAGTTGCAGACTTGGTGAGGCATACGTGCTTAGGAAAGCAATATAGGTTGTGAGTATTCAAAACCATAGGAGAAGCCACAATTTGTTTTATTTAATAATAGCCTAGTTTCACTCCCCCTGATGATCAAGCAAATGAATGCTCACGCGGGTGCTATCAGCCACCTCTAGGTTACAGAGTAGTCACTATTTTGTAGCCCTGTGAGTTTGGTTGTTATTCTTGAAATACTCCCAAGCCTCCAGCTAACAGATGGTAAAAGTCCTGGGACAAGCCTGGAAGCAAACTGCATGTAGATAGCTCCTTGACACTTTCCTTACGCCTGGCACCTGATATTCTGTCCGACCTTCCTTTAGGCCAGGCTGCAGCAGCTTACCTGTCTGGCCCCACGTGGCGTCTCCAAGAGACAGGTGCCTGGGGCAGTTCCACATAGCAGTGGTGGTACAACAGTCTCAAAAGGCTGTCGCAGCCTGCTTGAGAATCACTTATCTAGACAAAGGGTAAGGGTGAAGAGCGTTTTGTGCAAGCTAAGGTTGATCCCATCTGTGTCATGCTTTTCTTCTCTCCAGATTTCCTGCTTATACCCAGCAAAGAAATGGATTTAGACGAGCACCCCAGAAGATTAAACCTCAAAGTCCAGACCAAGGAATGGGCTCCAAGCCATACCAAAATAAGCAGTTTCCTCCAGTGGAGGAACTAGTCTCTTATACATCTTCCTCTTCCCTGAAGCGACTAGTGAAGCCATTCTTTTTTACAGTTGGGGTAATTGTGCCAGCATGTTACATGTCTGAGACCTAGCCTTGATTTAACCTAACATCTGCAGGTGACAAAAGAAGTGTTTTGCATTGTAAGGCAGAGAATGCCATTAAAATATGGTATAAACATGGAAGCAAGCCAAAATACTTAACACCAGCTTCTTACCATTTTGTAGAGCATTACCTACAGAAAGGATGTTGTTTTTTTAGTTTTAAGCCACTGTTTTCAGTGGGATTCCTGGCTTCTAGGAGTATTGCTAAGTTGTACTGTGCAATGGGCAAAATCATGTTGTGCTTTTTCAGTTAATACAGGGCCTTGCCTGCCATTTCTAAAGCTAGCCATCTCTTTCACAGAGCTGTGTAGCTGTATCTAACCTCTATTCCTGTAAGGTCTAAAAACATTTTGTGGGCTGCCAGTAGTGAGATCCTGCCACAAACTAGAAGTTAGGTAGCAACCTGAAATATGTGGCAAAAAATTCCCAAAAGGAGACTTGTTATTAAATAGTAAGTATTAAACAACTGGTACTGCCACAGAATGGAAATCTGAAATGTGGCACTGTATTAATAAGGAAGGGCAAGAGAGCACTCACTCTGTTTTGCTTAAATTGTTTAAGAAATTGTCTTCCAGATAAGACCCTGTTTTTGAATGCATCTAATATTACATAGTTTACAGGCTGTGCGTTTGGATCAGCTGCTATTTGGCAGTACGAATCCCTGAAATCCAAGGTCCAGAACTACTTTGGGGATGTTCAAGCTGATTGGATGGATAAGTTTCGACCTCAAAAACAGGGGAACTTAAAGCAGGTACCTATAAGTAACTAATTCTGGGATTCAAACATAGTAACTTGTCAGTGTGGTGACTATGGTACTTAAAATCGCATTTGTTACAAGTTATATGCCAGCAGTATGCTTAGTGCCTTGCACAACGTGATACTTGGCATATTTCAGTATAGCACTTGAAGACTTACGTGATCATGTATATTAATGCTTGTAGTTTAAGTGACAACAAAAGATACTTGTCCTGTTTCTTTTTATTTAATTCCATCAAATTCTTGGCACTTAGAAAAGTATGTTAGCTTGTCAATTAGTGCTGTTTTGCAGAACAGTAAAAAGTATATGCTCATTGAAAAGGAATCTGATTTCTTAAAACCCTAGAGAATAGGGCTGAAGAGTTCCTCAGGAGGTTGTCTTCCATTCTCCTTCTTAAAGGCAGGATCATTGCTTCCTGAACCATCCTAGACAAATATTTGTTTAATCTGCTTTTAAAAACTTCCAAGGATGGAGTAGCCTGGAATGTCTGACCAACCTTATAGTGAAAAAGTTCTTCCTGATCTCCAGCCTAAGTTTCCCTTGCTGCAATTTGAGACCATTGCTCTGTGTTCTGTCCCCTGCAGCCACAGAGAATAGCTTATTGCTGTCCTTCATATAACTGTTATTCAGGTATGTGAAGACTTGCCAAATCCCCCCTCAGCCTTCTTTCCGAGGCCAAACGATCACAGTTTTTGTAGCTTTTTCTAAAGGCTAATTGATACTTCCCAGATATCTAATAATTTTTGTTGCTTTCTGCAGTACATTTTCTAATTTGTCCATGTCTTTTGTGAAGTGTGGTGCCCAAAACTGAACAGAATATTCCAGGTGAGGTCTCACCTGGAGTATTCCATATTAGTGCAAATGAGAACTCAACACTTTAGCAGTGCTGTCAAAGGCACCAAAAGATTCCCTTATCTCTCTAAAAAAGCAAGGAAGAGAGACCAGTGGCAGCTGGTATGTATAACTTACCTTTAAAAAACACTTGTTCCCTGTTCCCTGCCCTCCCCCCATCTTTAGAAGGTGACAGCATTGCCAACCTAAGTGTTCAGAAACCAGACTCTAAGCCTCAAAAAACCATGAGATTGGCTTTAGTAAGATTTTAAAAGTCAAGTTTGGAGTTTTTATCTTTTGTTTTTTGAGCCTTAAAGGATTCTTGCTTTTCTCTGCAACTATGAGGGCTAGAAGCTTTTTTAAATGAAAGCTGAGAATCTTTTACAAACACCTGTCTGGAATACGAGACTTTAAGAAGACATCAAACACTGCAAGACTTATGATAAAGCGATGAGTTGACAACACCAGAGGGACCATAATTGCTTTGCTGCAGTGTTTTCATTTATGATACAAACATGAATTCTGGATGCTTTGTTTAATTTGAGATGAGTGCACAGGCATACAGCAGGCCACTTGATTCCTAATCCTAGTAAATTTTTACCAGACTTGGTAGGGCTGAGTAGTGATTACGTAGCTGCACAGGCACTGCACACTGAGTAAGAGAGGAACCATTTGCCTCCATGATGTGCTATGGCATTCCTCCACAGATGCAAACTTTTTCATCTGTGTTTTATATGACCCACAGATGAGATCAAAGCTGCCCCAGAATATATAGAGATTGTTTAGGGCTAAACTGTTAATGTTCTTCCAGATCTGATGGGAAATGTCTGCTGAAATCTAATTATCTAAAATAAACAAAATAATTCTTATTGTTAATACATATTTAAAACAATCCCCAGCCCCCATCATTGTCTGATAATAAGTATCCTTTTAAATAGAGCATCAATTGCTAGTGAAGGCAGGCAGAATATTTCTATTATACAAAATCATGCTTACATAATGGACATATTAAGAAGCATATACCAGTGAGGATATCTGTAGATCTTGTGCCAAACAATTTGAAAATGGAAAGAGATGGAAGAATGACTTGAAATGAACCACTTGCTAGCTGCAACTGCATTTTACTTTCTGTCCAATTAGAAATCAACCTGCAGTTAGTTATATACAGGGATCCTGGTTTTCTCTGTTTAAAAACAAAAAATCTCTGATAAAAAATAGCTGATTTCCTAATTAAAAAGCCCCAAATCCATGTTTTTCCATGGTTAAAATGAAATGCCACTATATATAAGTATCAGTAGAACACAATGATTTATTAATATAGTTACAATTTTAAAGCAGTTTGGAAGCTGACCAGTGCCTCAATCACTATAATAAAATAAATTCTAAATAC